TGTGACCTCAGCATGGCCGGAGAAGCGGTGCGTCGGTGTGCCCCCGGGATCCGAACCCGGGCTGCCAGCAGCGGAGTGCGCGCACTCAACCGCTAAGCCACGGGGCTGGCCCGAAGAAAAGTCTTCAATATTGTATATTTCTCATGCCTAGTCATAGTCTGTCAGTACCTGATAAGTTCTCTGGGGGAACAGTGTTGCTGAAGTATATTTGTATTTATTTTGTATTGCACAGTTAGGCTTCTAAATGCTTCCATTTGTCTTCTTTTATACAGATGTGGAGAGATTATTCCCAAAAGAGAACAGTTTAATGACCTCTCCATCGACCTTCCTCGAAGGAAAAAGCCACTCCCTCCTCGTTCAATTCAAGATTCCCTTGATCTTTTCTTTAGGGTAAGTAATATCTTTTGGTGTTTTCACATAACTAAATTTTATATATCATAGATAATTTGAAGTTGATTTCTTTAAGGTAAAGTTCAATAAAATTACTTGCCGGGGAAAAAAGTGAGAAATATTTATAAATAATATTTATTTTTAAAAGGTTGATAAATCTAGTTAACTCATTGAAGAAGAAAACTGATTGCTTAAGTAGATTATACATTTAACTCAATAGCAAGTGTTATAGACAACCTTAGAAGCAGTTACTTGTAAACAAATATTAATTTGAAGCGTATGACGTGAGATACGCTACAATTTGGTAATGTGAATTAAAATTGGAGACACTATATAAGTTGATATACTAAAATCTGAGGAATAAAAAAAATACTCTGTTTTTCCTTAGGTTGTATGTACCCTGTTAGAAACAAAACGGAAGAGTCATGTTTATCCAAAGCTGTAGATAAACATTTGTGTCTGTGATATACTGTTATAGATAGAAAGTTTCTGGGGCATAATTGGATTTGCTGCGTAGCAGCCCTTATAACTGATGGAAATTTGTCAGGGTCACCCTTTGTCTCTATAATAGTGGTTCTTGCTTTGTTGTAGCAAATGGGCGGGGTTGTCTTCCCAAGGCTTAAAAATAAGTTCTATTCTTTAAATGATGAATGTTCAGCTCCACCCAAAGTTAAATACTCTGCTTTTCTTTTTGTTTTAATCATTCCGTACTATTCCTGTTATTGTAGAATTTGAAGCTTTTCCTATGTATCTTTACTCTCATTTTTTAAGGATTTCTTGTTTCAGTTTTCTCTAGGTAATGATATCCACCCCAAACTTTGGTCCTTTTAGAGCAGTTGTTCTTAGTGGGCTGTCACCAGAAGATTGAGTTCCATTATAAGAAAGGGGTAGAGTTACACCTAACAGACCAGGAACTCCGCCTAACCTAAAGGTGATCTTATCTCTGCTATGGCCAAATGTTAAAATCTGGATATACTTTTGGCAGTGGTTCTTATGTATCCATGGGGAAAAGGTTGAGAATCTGCTACTATAGAGTCTAGTTACTATCCTAAATTGAGATATTTCCTTGGTTTTTTAAAAAAGGAAATTAGGAATTCTGAAATAGGGCATGATATTATAAAATAACTATATTTGAGGATTAGGTCTAATTTAGTAAGGCTTATGACTCTAGATAGAGAATTTTAAACTGGTCGGAGTTGTCATCCCACTGAACTAGTATGACTAGGGAAGATTATTAGCATTTAATGGGGTAATGCTTGTTCAACTTCATCCTTCTTTATTTTTCCCTCTTGTCTTTTTACAGGCAGAAGAACTTGAGTATTCCTGTGAGAAGTGTGGTGGGAAGTGTGCTCTTGTCAGGCACAAGTTCAACAGGCTACCCAGGTAAAATTAATTGCTCTTCAATTTTTCTTCTTTAAAGTACTTACAAATATTACTGAGTAAGTGAGGCTTACCAAAATGGGTTGATAAAGAAGGTCAGCAAAGCTGGGATATGAAGAGGGTAGAGGGTGGAAAGCTAGAACGCTCTTGCGTAAGAAAGGAAAAGGATTTGGAATGCTGAAGAGGAGAAGTCCCAAGAAGATGGCAACAAGAGGATGTGGCTGGGGAGACTTTGGAATAATGATAGGGACTTGGCTAGTAGATTTTTAATTCAGTGATGTGTAACATTCAGTTATAATTTGTTGTCCTGTATTGTGCTGTAGTCTCCCTCTCTCATCCCAAACCTTCAGTAAAAATCTGCTACACACACGTACACGGGTGTGCCTGAAAATAAAATAGGAAGAGTAATTTTCTGCAATTTGTGCATTCCTTTACTCAGGATCTTATAAGTTGGTGAGTGTCCTGTAATCATAAGAATTCTGAATTAGGAATGAAATTAACTTATATTGTATTAGCTCTGTATAAACAAATGTAAAACCAAACTAGTTAGAAAAATTATGATGTCATTATAGGGCAGCTTTTAGTTCTTTCCAAGAATAGATCTCAACCACAAACCAGGTTATTATTAACATTAAGTATTTATGCGGCACTTTGCCTGCAGAGTGCTTTACTTTTTTTTATTAGCTTCCATTTTCTATGAGTAATTGCAGAGTTTCTGGAATCTTGCCCTTAGAGACTAATTCTTTTACATTCCATTAACTGCACCTTTCTAGAAAATGAATTTCTTTTAAAGAAATGACTTTCTAAATCATAGCCGTATTATGTTGATCGTGGCCTGTCTTTTTGCTTAAGAGACTTGTTCTTTCCTAATTGTTTTGAAGCAGGAGAGTGGTGGGAACAAATCTGAAGGCCAAGGCTTGATTGTTACCAGCTGTCATTAACTGAGGAGACCAGTGTACAACTGAAAATACATGTTTGACCTGGCAAGCTGATGTCTGTTCCCCTTCCCGTTGTCTAGCTATTTGGTCTTTCAAGTGGGGAAAAAAAATAGAGAAATTTTTCTCCTTGGTTTTCTTTTTTTTTTTTTTCTGGTAGGTCACTTGTGTTAAAGGTTAATTTATTCAAAATTTACGTGAAATAGAAGCCTTTGTATCATAAATCGTAATTATTAGACTTGCTCTGTTTTTGTTCATTTCCATATTAAAGCCATTCTACTTTTATTCTTGAAGGACCTGGTATCTTTATCAGATCTGTTCATTTTTAGTCCACTTCATCTTTATAGATTGGTGGTTTTGACTATCATCTGTCTGTTTGAGGGTACCTTTTGTTTTGGTAGGATTATTTGAAAATTTAGTCAAAATATTTGACATTAGTTTTAGTTTTTTCACATCAACTGGATCCTTGTGTTCTTTCAAGTTGTTATGAATTTGAAGGTTATGGATTCTAGCATACTTTTTAAAGAGAAATATAATTGATAACTTCAGTTTACAAATTTTTGAGTTTGTGGCTTCTGTGATAAAGGTATACACGGTAAGAAAGGAAACAGTTTTCCATAAATTAGACATTATTTTTGCCTAGAATTGAGGTTTATTCCCATCTCTGAAACTCAATTTTTAAAGTGGTCTTGTGGGCTGTGGAATAAATATATTTAGTCCATCTGGCAGAGATTGTGTTCTGTATCGAAGGTGAAAAGATTGCCACAGTAGTAACTAAAAAGAAGGTTTTTATAGAGCTAAAAGCCTTTTCGGACGCACAAACCAGATTTGGCATGTAAATTTTGTAGAACTTTTTTCTAAGCGGAGAAATTTTTCTGTTTCTCTCTTAGCTTTCTCCAGAGCAAGTTCTACTGAAATAAAAATAGTTCTTGTCGAAAATCATCTTTTTTTTTTTTTTTTTTGTGAGGAAGATCAGCCCTGGGCTAACATCCATGCCAATCCTCCTCTTTTTGCTGAGGAAGACCAGCCCTGAGCTAACATCTATTGCCAATCCTCCATTTTTACCCTTTTTCTCCCCAAAGCCCCAGTAGGTAGTTGTATGTCATAGTTGCACATCCTTCTAGTTGCTGTATGTGGGACGCGGCCTCAGCATGGCCGGACAAGCAGTGTGTTGGTGCACACCCGGGATCCGAACCTGGGCCACCAGTAGCGGAGCGCGCACACTTAACCACTAAGCCACGGGACCGGCCTGAAAATCGTCTTGAAAAAATTAATGTTCACCATCAAACATAAGGCCTGTTTAACACTTTAATTAAATTATTGCTAGTGCTTATATAACACCTATTTTTTTTGTAAACTATGTGACATTGAAGTAAATAATTTAAGGATTTAACCCAGTATCAATATCAGGATTTAAAAATTTAGTGCTCTTGTATGATGTGTTTTATTTGGTGGGTTTTTTTCCTAGGAATATTATAAGTATTTTACCCAAACCTCACTAATCCAGCCAATGCCCGTGTTTTATTTGTATTCTTAGTACCTAGCACAGTGCCTAGCACATGGCAGGTATTCAGTAAATGTTCTTCGAAGGATCTTTAGTTTGGCCAAATGTGTTCTTTATATCAAAAGCTGTCTAACCTGGTTAGTTACGGTGATCTCTTTTCACCTCTAAGAGAGCTACCTCTACGGTGTATGAACTAGTAATGTCATCACCCACCTCCTGTTTTGCAGGATCCTCATTCTTCATTTGAAACGGTATAGCTTCAATGTCGCTCTATCGCTGAACAACAAGATTGGGCAGCAAGTCATCATTCCAAGATACCTGACCCTGTCATCTCATTGCACTGAAAATACAAAACCACCCTTCACCCTTGGTTGGAGTGCACATATGGCAATGTAAGTCCTTGAGAGAGAGTTTCTTTACCTTCCTTTTTGAAGTAGAAAGGCTTTAGTATCTCATCAAAAGAATGAGTGAACTGAATAACATGACTCCCAGGTAAAATCAGACCAAGAAGGAGATTTTAATTTTGCTTTATTTTGCAATTTTGTGTTAAATTACTGCCTGATTGAAGTAATTGAATTAAATGCTTAAACAAAATTCTTCCAAGTACATTAATTGCCTTTCATAATAAGTTACCTTTTTAGGGAGTGCTCTTACTCTTTTAGATCACTAGAAGGCAGTTTGATATATTTTGGAAGTATAAACCAAATTTGCATGATCATAAAAGTCACCTGAACACTAAAAATACCAATTCCTGTGTTCTTTCCCTACAAGTTCTATTTCAGTAGATCTGAGATAAGGATTGGGGATCGATATTTTTAACAAATGCCTTTGCTGACTCTTTGGGATATGCAAATTTGAGAAACACTATACTACGTGTTATACAAATAGATTGTGTCTTCATAAATGTGTTATCACCAATGTAAGTGAAGAACTTCAGTGACTCTTAGAAGTTTTTTCGTGAGAACAGAAATAACCTTTATCTTTGATTTTGCTCATCATGTATCCTGGGGAAACTGTAGGACTTCTCTGAGTGTTGCTCTTTCTTTTGCATACTTGCATTACTTTGGAGCCATAAATTGCAGTTCATTTTTATACTTGAACACTAGTTTGGTAGAATCTTGAGGTTCTGGGACTTTAGAGGTGAAAGGGATTTTAGAGATATTGTCTGAATTCTTAATTTTACAGAAGAGATCCAAGGAGATTAGGTGATTTTCTTTTTTTTTTCTTTTTTTTTTGTGAGGAGATCAGCCCTGTGCTAACATCTGCCAATCCTCCTCTTTTTTTGCTGAGGAAGACTGGCCCTGGGCTAACATCCGTGCCCATCTTCCTCCACTTTATGTGGGACGCCACCACAGCATGGCTTGCCAAGCAGTGTGTTGGTGCATGCCCGGGATCCGAACCGGCAAACCCCATGCCCCCGCAGCAGAGTGCGCGCACTTAACCGCTTGCGCCACTGGGCCGGCCCCTGGGTGACTTTCTTAAGGCCATACAGTTAGTAGCTGGAAGAGCCAGGTCTCTTGGCTAAAGTGGAATAAAAGACATTTCAGAAAGTGAATGAACATTTGCTAACATGAATCAGTTTTGTAAAATGTATTTCACCTTGGATTAATAATTGAAATATATACTACATCATACAACTTTACACTAATGGCCTCAGTGCGTCTTCTAATAAAGACAGACATGTTCCCAGAGAGTCTTAGTGTTTCTAGGTTTTCTCTTATGGCCTTTGTTTGGAGTAGATGTTTTTGCTTGACGCAAACTGCTGTCGGCTGGTAGAGCTGTTGCTCTCCCTGGCACTCAGTAGTACCGTCAGCGTAGGCTCTTGATGATCACAGGCCTGAAACCAGGCTGCCAGAGTCTACAATTAAGCCTAAAGACTTTGGACAAATCTTTGACTTGTCTGTAGGGAAAAGCATAGGGTGTTTGTGAACCTTAAATGAGGTAATAACATATAAGTTCTTACTACAGTGCCTGACATCTATTAAGTCCTCAATAAATGAGAGCTATTATTATTTTATTGCTTAAAAGTAAAGAACTGAGACAAGATAATTTTTCCCAAGTTGTTCATTTCATATGTATTACATTTGACTTCATTTCCAGTGCTGTTTGTTTAGCTCATTAGATGAGAGAGAGCCTAGAGATGGTATTTTGTTTTCTCTTTTGGCTTCTATTGCTAGTAAAAGTAGTATGATTATTTACTTTTCAAGAGGATATATAAGGGACTATAGTACAGAATAATTCATTTTATAAGTTAAATATATATTTTTAATAACGTAATTGTATACATTATATATTTTCTAATTTTCTGATAGTTCTAGACCATTGAAAGCCTCTCAAATGGTGAATTCCTGCATCACCAGCACTTCTACACCTTCAAAGTGAGTTATATTTCTTGTGTACCCAAAATTTGTATTTTTAAGGATTTGGCTTACCTAATTTCCACAATTATCCCCTCCCCTTTTCTTTATTGTCTCTCTTTTTGCATGGTAACTGCTCTGTATTACTATACTTTGAAATTTTCCTGAATCTGCTTTGAAATTTTCCTGAATCTGCTTATAATCAAGGGTATAACAAGTTTTTAACAGTGAAGCAAATTCAGATGATCCTCTCAAAATTTTGTTTTAAAACTTTTTAAATCATCTGTTAATATGTAATGTTTTCATCCCACAACTCTAGAAATTGACTGATGACAATGGATTTTAAGGATTGAAGGGATAAAATAACCCTGTTGGTATAAAGGGGTTCCTCAAAGATATGCATGGAGATCCCAAAATATCTTTTCACCTGTTGCTAGCCAGTCTGAGGCTTCTTGTCTTAGACACTGAACTGGAGCTATTTTGAAAGGGGACAGGAAAACACACTGGAATGTAGCTATTCTACAAATGTTTTGTGTTTTTTGCTTAAGACCAAAAGTTTGTCCAAGAAGTGAAGCAAATATCTTTTTTTTAGTATACCTCCTCCATGATTTAACTAGAACCACAGTTCCTGACTAGACAATTCTAAATGACTTCGTTGTCATTTGTCTTATTAAAATTAGTTTTTCTAAAAATTTGCCGTCCCAGAGTACTTTTACAGGGAGACGCTTTTGTTGTTTAAGGGCTTTTGGGGGGCTTATATAACCATAAAATGACATTTGGGAACTGCTATTTTCTTTTCCTCCTGTTAATTATTTTTCAGTGCAATTAAAACCAGATGACTAACATGACTAGAAATCTGAAATGGTACCGATATGAATACTCTTGCCCGTTCTCAAGATACAAATGAGCAATACCACTTGGCTGCTTAGAAAGTGAGCAAGTGATGCATTTACAAGATGAATATTTTTCATTACTACAGGCAAGCTGCCTTCTGTGAATATAGTAACTATTAATGGAATGCACTCTTTATGTACCAAATCACTATAGTTTCTAGAAAGAGATGGTTTCATTGGGCATCATTATACTTGGCATGGTCATCTGTTCTCCAGGGTCTACTGGTATGAGAGTTTGAGAGTTGGTCAATAAAGGATGATTAGGCCCTAGAAGACCTGTCATGCCGATCAAACTTAAAAGAGGCTGAGTCATGAACCAGAATACCACTGTTTCTTCTACAGTGTCCTTTGTCACATTTGACCCTGGTACCTTAGTAGCCAGGTGTCACCCTCCAGCAAAATATTTACGTGAATAAACAAATTAATATGTTCAGTTTCGCTTGGTGAGCATGAAATCAGAAATGAGGAATTAAGATGGCTGATTGGCTCTTTCTAAGTTATACTAAAAACCCTTTCGAACACATCATGGGAGGCTCTTCAGGTGTTCCGGCTGGAGTGCAGTGATATCCTGGCTGCTCTCAGCCGCAGACCGTGTTGGGCTTACCACTGACCACGTGCCTCTTTTCTTTGATCTACATTGCTACGCAACCCTCCTGATTTCCATTGTGGCCTCTTACTTCTTGGTGCCATCATTCTATATGTTTATTTACAGTTTTCACATTTAGATTAGTTGCATTTTCCAATTTCCATTTTACATTTTTTTTTAGTATAGCATATGAATTTATGTTAACCTCCATCGAAGAAAGTTCATGCTCTTTGACCTTTACCACTTTTTCCTTTAGTTTATTTTCAGCTCACTGAGAAGACAACACAGTAACACCTTACTTATCTGGTATCATTGAAGAATATTTGACATTCCATATAAATGAATTTTTATATAACTGAAGCTTGCCTTTTTAAGCATTAATCTTTAAAAATGTTTAACCATTTTATTTTTTTCTTTTTTTCTTTTTTTCTTTTATTTATTTATTTTTTTCCCCCAAAGCCCCAGTAGATAGTTGTATGTCATAGCCCCACATCCTTCTAGTTGCTGTATGTGGGACGCGGCCTCAGCATGGCCAGACAAGCAGTGCGTCGGTGTGTTCCCCGGGATCCGAACCCGGGCCGCCAGCAGCGGAGCGCACGCACTTAACCACTAAGCCACGGGGCCAGCCCTGTTTAACCATTTTGGATGGCTATATTCTCTGTAACCTTACAGAATTCCTCATTTTCTTAAATAAAATATACTGAAGGTAATTTAAGTCTATTGTGTTGACTTAAAATCAGCATTATGAGTATTAGTTATTGCACTGTGTTCTAATATGATAATGCCCTCAGAGGCTCTTAATTCTTACAAGACAGTTTCCCTTTACATTAAATGACTTTGTAGTTCTTTATTGCCCTTTTTGTGGTTATTCTCTCTCATTTCTTAGCTCTCATTTCTTGATGACCTTAACTACGTTATTTTATACACCGTTTCCTGGGAAAGAAGGGTCCCTGTCTAAAGAGTAAAGTGCCTGGGGTTTGAAACTCCTGCCATCCTCAGAAGCCTTTTTTCTTACTTTTGAATTCCTGTGTCCTGGAAGGTAGAAGTTGCCAGAAGTCTGACCTACATATAACTGGATAAGTGGAATGTTACTGTTAATTTTAAAGTACACAGATCATAATTCGAAAGATCAAAAATTATTCCTTGTGCACTCTGTTGTCAGCATTTCTTCATTGCTATGTCTGCATGCACTTGCTTTATAAAGACAGTAACAGACTTCTTGGGGTTGATCATTAAAAGAAAAAAGGCACAAAGTGATGGGTTTACTGATGTATAATAGCACACAAGTTGTCTAATTTTCAAAGCATGGCTCTTTTGGAGTGGGGCAAAGGTAATGCTTAAATATACCTCTTTTGATACATTGTTTTTTCTCTTTTAAATCGTTTTCCATAATGGAAAAGCTTTTTGTTTTATTTTGGTATTTATACATCAAAAGAATAACTAGGACAAATGTTTATTTATCAGACTTGCATAGGATTTTTTTCCTTAAATTACAGGAATTTCACCCTCAAATCCAAGAGCTCCGTTGCTTTATGCCTTGATTCAGACAGTGAGGATGAGCTGAAACGCTCTGTGGCCCTTAACCAGAGACTTTGTGAAATACCAGGCAGTGAACAGCAGCAGGAAGACCTGGAAAAAGTAAGCAATATCTCATCAAAATATCTGACGAAGATTTGTATAGCGAAGATATGAAATACCTTACTGTTCAAACAAATGCCTTTCATAACCAGCATCAGCAAACTTAGTAAATATACAAGATAGATCATAAACTTAATGGGTATGTTCAAATACTAGTTTTAAAGAGTGTGCTTTCTGTAGCCACAAAACCAGTCTTTTTAAAGATGGATTGAGACTTTTTTTTTTGAGGTATAAATTGATGTATGATGTTGTATTAGTTTCAGGTGTACATTCGATATTTGTATATATTGTGAAGTGATCACCACAGTAAGTCTAGTAAACATCTGTCACCATGTGTAGTTACAAAAAAATTTTTTTTCTTATGAGGAGGACTTTTAAGATTTACACTCTTAGTAACTTTCAAATGTATAATACAACATTATTAACTACAGTCACCATGCTATACATTATATCCCCATGACTTATTTATTTTTATAACTGGAAGTTTGTGCCTTTTGACCCCCTTCACTCATTTCACCCACCTCCCCTGCCTGCCTCTGCCAACCTGTATCTGTGAGCTTGGTTTTTTTGGTTTGTGTTTTTTAGATTCTACATAAAAGTGAGATCATATGGTGTTTGTCTTTCTCTGCCTAACTTATTTTACTTAGCATAATGCCCTCAGGGTCCATCCATGTTGTTGTAAGTGGCAAGATTTCATTCTTTTTTATGGCTGAATAGTATTCCAGTATATACACATAGACACATACCACATCTTCCTTATCCATTCATCCATTGATGGACACTTAGGTTGTTTCCAGATTGAGACTTTTCTTTCTTTCTTTTTTTTTTTTTTTGTGAGGAAGATTAGCCGTTGGCTAACATCCATTGCCAATCCTCCTCTTTTTGCTGAGGAAGATTGGCCCTGAGCTGACATCTGTGCCCATCTTCCTCTACTTTATTTGTGGGATGCCTGCCAAGCATGGCTTGACAAGCAGTGCATAGGTCCGTGCCCGGGATCTGAACCTGCAAACCCCAGGCCACCAAAGCAGAGTACGCAAACTTAACCACTACACCACTGGGCCGGCCCCCCAGGATTGAGACTTTTTTTTTTTTTTTGGTAAGAAAGATTGGCCCTAAGCTCACATCTGTTGCCAATCTTCCTCTTTTTGCTGAGGAAGGTTGGCCCTGAGCTAACATCTATGCCCATCTTCCTCTATTTTTTTATATGTGGGATGCTGCCACAGTATGGCCTGATGAGTGGTGCACAGGTCTGCGCCTGGGATCCGAACCTGAGAACCCCGGGCCGCCAAAGCAGAGCACGTGAACCTAACCAGTACACCACCGGGAGACTTTTAAGAAGTGAAAATTTTACATAAATTGCTTTCTCCTGTTAGCCTTCAGAGCTACTTTTGCATATTGGTCCTCAAATAATTACTTGCTTTATTTTGGTACTAACTGTTAATATGGGGGAACCGTAATAAAGATTTTACATCAACAGGCTGTCCAGGTAATCTAAAGGTTTAAATAATGCGTGTGAAGGCATAGCTACATCATTCTATCTTGACATATAATGATAGTTAATACTTGGAAGATATAAGCTTTTCTGGGAGTTTGCGTCATCTCATGTGACTGATTTTAAACCTCCCGTTTGGTAAGATAACGTAATTATTTTAGTAGGTTTTTTTTTAATCTGACTCGTTTCCCATCTTACTTTAAAGCTAGAGGTAGTTTGTGGTTGCTCACCTTGTTTGAGAAATGACAAAGTCAGAAATTCTCCCAGAAATGAGAGAAAGTTATTCAGAATATAACTTCAGAATATTTATATAATCTTGATGTCGTTTTTATTTTTCTCATTTATTAAAAAAATGAACAAGACCTGCCAACATTTAAAAAGGAATATTAGGTGTAGTGACAGAATATTTACAGTATGATCCAGCTTATCTGGAAGAAAATACACCAAAAATACTTGTAGTAATTATCCTGAGTGAAGGATTTTGAGTGAATTTTATTATTTTTATGTATCCAAATTTCTAGAAGGAGCATACTTAACACTCATTATGATCAAGAAAATAAACCTGTATCCTCATATAGTTATTATTACTGGAAAATCAGGCTTGCCAGTAGGTTTGTATATTGGTTATTGATTGTTAAATAAGCAAAGCATCAAAGGAAGGAAACTTTGTGGAAATAAAATAAACTTCTCCCTTTAAACTCTAAGATTGCTATATTTGTAGGCATCCTGGTTTCCCCTAAAAGTAACTCTCTTCTTCAGGATTCAAAATCGTGCAAAATAGAGCCTGATAAATCCGAATTGGAAAACTCAGGGTTTGACGGAATGAGCGAAGAAGAGCTTCTGGCAGCTGTTTTAGAGATAAGTAAGAGAGAAGCTTCACCGTCTCTGAGTCATGAAGATGATGATAAACCAACCAGCAGCCCAGATACTGGATTTGCAGAAGATGATATTCAAGAAATGCCTGAAAATCCAGACCCTATGGAAACTGAGAAGCCCAAAATAGTCACAGAGCCGGGTAGGTTTAATGAAGACAAACATCTGTTAAACAAGGCACAACTGTGTTCCAAAGCCTCATAGTGACAAATGGCTTCTAAATAATTGGAGGTGAGATGGATCTGTAGAACAGAGCTAATAATATTTTCATGCTTTTTTTTTTTTTTTTTTTTTTTATAGATGAGGAGAGAAACAAGAAAGTCTGTAGAATGGGAGCCTATGGCCCCGGCTACCTCCTTTCTGAACAAGTTGAATCTTAATATATGCATTTTGCGTCTTGACTGTTTTTCCATCTTTGTTCCTTTTTTTTTTTTGGTGAGGAAGATTAGCCCTGAGCTCATGTCTGCTGCCAATCCTCCTCTTTTTTGCTGAGGAAGACTGGCCCTGGGCTAACATCCGTGCACATATTCCTCTACTTTGTATGGGACTACGCCACAGCAAGGCTTAGACAAGCAGTGCGTCGGTGTGCGCCCGGGATCCGAACCTACGAACCCCAGACCGCCACAACGGAGCGCGTGCACTTAACCGCTACGCCACCAGGCTGGCTCCCATGCTTTTTTTTTTAACAATTTGAAAAATGAGAAGTAAATATTGTGAGTAGTACCCAAAGACTGGTGGTAAAGTATGCCATATCCCTTTAGGTGTGCGTCAAAAGAAAAGTTAGTATTCTTACACGTGTTTAATAAATGTTTGTGTTAGTTTTTGGTCACTTTTCTCTCATCACTGCTGTCTCAGAATTTGTGTAGTTCTTTCTTCATTTTTCTATATCTGAACTTATACCAAGTTTTAGTGTATAAATAATTCAATTTCTCCATTCTCCTTTGGGTTCTTCCCTTCATAATGGTAGGAAGACCACTGAACCAAGAGATCAGGTCTTGGGCCTCTAGTCTTGGCTACACCATCTACTAGCTATGAATTTCTAAATAGGTAATTGAACCTCTTTGAAACTCAATTTTCTTAACTCTGTATGGGGCTCTACCAGACATACTTCAGAAGGTTGTGAGTAGAGTATTAGATAGTATATACATATAATATAAACTACTATACAGATAAAAAATTATTTTTGTGGTAGTAATTCTTCATATTTTGTTATTTCTCAGGTTATTGGTGGGAACAACAGAGCTGAGCTTCCTTGCCTTGCACTATGAGTATTTTAAGATTTTTAGGTAGAAAATTTTTCCTACCTCTTCCTATGACCAACTCTGATTTTTTCTTCTGATATCCCTAATACCTATATCTATCTATCTGTCTATCTCTGTGTTTCAGTGCATGAAGCCTAGGATTTTGGAGATGAAGAGAATAGTAGTATATCACAAAATTATTTGCTATATTCTTGGGGTTAAGGCCTCTTCAATTTTGAATTATTTTATATGCAAGTGAAGTAAAAATTAGTATATCCTCAATTTAACTGGAAACAAAAAGCTGATGATTTTTGTATGGAGGCATTCCTTTTTTTTTTCCCCTCTCGATGCAGGTATCCTTATGAAATCCCCTTCTCTTATTAAACTTATAATCACTGCCCTTAGATATTGTTGGTTAATATTAGTGCTTTTGTCCCTTGCCAGTTTATTTCCTGCTTTCAGCTCTTCCTTTCAATTCTTTGCTCAGTCCTGTGTCTCCCTAAAATTAACAAAGGAAGTTATTCTTATGTACTATTAGTTCTGGATTATCTGTGCCCATGGAGGAGAACACTGAGGTTATCAAAATCATTAATAATCACAGGTGGTTTATAACTGTAGTAGCTTTGGGAAGAGCAAGCTTGTTCATAAGTACTTTATATCCTTATATAAGATCCTCTATTCTTTAGCTACCATCTTCCCCAGTTGGTTGCAGGCCATTGTTGTGTTTTCTGCTGTTTTAACCTCACCATTTCATTTGCCTTCTTACTGTAACTGAAACCTAAAGACATTGCTTGTCCTGCAATTCTTTTTTTTTTTTTTTTAAACTTATGGAGAATATTGAGCCAAAACAAAAGTAGAGAGATGAGTATAATGAACCTTCCCCCTTGTACCCAGTGTCAACGATAATATTAATAAAAAGCCAGTCTTGTTTCATCTATATCCCAGTTTCCTTCTCCACCTCATCCCCTGGATTATTTAGAAGTGAATCCCAGATACTAGATCATTTCATCAGTAAGGATTTCAGTATCTCTAAAAGATAAGAACTCTTTTTTTAAAAAACGTGTCCTCAATCCCATTGTCATACTTTAAAGATTTTATTTATTTATTTTTTTTCCCCTTAAAGCCCCAGTAGGTAGTTGTATGTCATAGCTGCACATCCTTCTAGTTGCTGCATGTGGGACGCGGCCTCAGCATGGCCGGAGAAGCGGTGCGTCGGTTTGCGCCCGGGATGCGAACCCGGGCCGCCAGCAGCGGAGCGCGCGCACTTAACCGCTAGGCCACGGGGCCGGCCCCCATTATCATACTTTAAATATTAACAGTAATTCTAAGGAATGATTAGATATGATCAAATTCTCCATAAGGTTTTTATTTTGAAAGTTTTCAAATCCAGAGAGAAGTTGAAGAATAAAACAATGAACTCTTGAATACCCTTCACCTAGATTCATGAATTAACATTTTATCACGTTTACTTTCTCTCTCCCCGGCCCCCAGTGTATGTGCGTGTAGTTGTGTAGCAGTTACCCCAAAATTAGTGCCGTAAAACAACAATAATTTTAATATCTCTCATAATTCTGTGGATTGACTGGTGTTGGCTGGTAGTTCTTCTGCTCCATGTGATGTTGGCTGGGGTTTGACGAGGCTGCAACATCCAAGATGGCCCACCTCGGCACCTTGGTTGTGTTGGTTAGAAGGGTCAGCTGGGGTGGCTAGATATCCTCTCCGTTACTCCCTTCCCCTCACTCCTGTCTCCCTCCCCCTCTTCTCTTCCTCTTTTCATCTCTTCCTGTAGTCTCCCCCTCTGTGTGGTCTCTCCAGCAGCGTAGCCAAGCTTCTTACATAATAGCTCAGGGTTCCCAAAAGCGCAAAAGGGGGAGCTGCCGGGCCTCCTTAACGTTTAGGCACAAGGTTAGCACAAAATCGATTCTACCACATTTTCTTGGTTAAAGCACTCACAGGATCTGCCCAGATTCCCTGTGAGGGAGACTACACAAGAGTAAGAATACCAGTAGGCATGGTTCATTGGAGACCATCTTTGGAGACTACACACACACACACTTTTCTTTTTGAATGGAACCATTTGAAATTGCAGGTATCATGACACATTCTAAAACGCTTCAGAATCTCCTAAGTATATGGAAATTTTCCTACATAACAATTACCACACTTAAGAATATGAACAGTAATTCCATATATAATTCCAATTTAGAGCCCACATACACATTTCCCCAATTGTCTCAAAAATATTTTTTTATACTTTCTGTTTTTTTAACCCAGAACCCAGTGTTTACCCACTGCATTTGGTAGTTAGGTCTCTTTAGTCTCTAGTCAAGGCCAGTTTTTCTTTGAAAGGCTCCCAGTATGGATTGTGCTACTGTTCTTTAAGTGTAAGCTGTTTTTCCCCCATACCCTAAAACTTCAGAGCCTGGAGATGGGATAGCTTTTCTCCTTGTTACCCACTGCCATTTCCAAGTTCTTGACTCCTTTCATCCTACAAAAATCCCAGCTCTTTTTGAAGTACATGACGTCAGACTGCCACCTATTATCTTTTTCTATAGCTGTCTTTTACCTTCCAGTCACTCCCATCAACATTCTTAGGGACTTCACCATCCTCATAAATGATCCAACAACAGCCTAGTTTCTCAGTTCCTGATCTTAATTCAAAAGATCTTTTCTTCTACCCCATCTTGATCACTGACAGAAGTCATACCCTAGACCAGTGCTTCTCAATGTGTGTCCCGAGACCATCAGAATCATGTGGGAACTTGCTAGAAATGCCATTCTTGGCCCCACCCTAGACCTACTGAATGAGAAACTCTGGATGTGGGGCTCAGCATTCTGGGTATTGATTCCAAGTGATTCTGATGCATGCTAAAATTTGAGAACCACTTCCCTAGACTTTGTTGTCATCAGTAACTGTACCACTCATGAAATCTTGATTTTAAATATCTCTGTAACCTGTCTCTCCTTCCAGCTCACCTAGTGTCATATTCTTATTTCAACAATTACTTGATCTCATTAAGACTTCCAATCCTTTGACTTCTACTTTTTTGCTATTCATCACCTCCCTCTTGTTATCATTTCCTTCCCCAGCCTATGTGCCATATTTTAGTACTCTTTTATCTCCTTCCTCTCTTTTCGTCTGTCACAGTAGCCTGACAAAACCCCAACTGAACTAGCTTCTTATTCCATGCCTATACCCAAGCAGCTGAAGATTGCTGGAGAAAAATCACAAAACTGCGGACTAGACTTTCCTTAAATTCATGACTACACTCTTAAACGGGCCCCAAGTGCTACTAGTCATTTGTTATACTTGCTTAGTGAATTTCTTTTCTGGGTCTCTGTGATCTCTTCCTCAGATCTGCCGTTCTCCTTCCACACATACTCTGAGTTCATAACTTAGCTGTATACTTTTCAAAGAAAATAGATGCAATCAGATGAAAACTCTGCCTTCACTTTTGTTATGGAGGAAATATCCCTGTTCTTATTTAAGGCCAGTCCCTCCATTCATTTCTAAAATGTCAGCCACTGTGCCTTCCAAAGACCTTCTCTCTTGAAGTTGTACTCTTTCTCTTCTGCATCAGGTCTTCCCTCTCTTCTAAATTACTCCCCTTGTAGCTTAATATTACCCATCTTTGAAAACCCTCTTAGGACCTTACGTGCCCCTCCAGCTACTGCCCCATTTCTTTGCTCCCCTCATAGCAAAATTCTCTGGAAGAATTGTTTTATTCCTTCTCTCTGCTTTCTTACCACCTCCCATTCTCTTGTCAGCCCTCTCCAGGTGGGCTTTCCTCCCCACCATGCCACTGAAAGGGTGTTTATCAAGTTTACATGAACAGTATTTCACACAATCCACCGCTCCCTCCTTAACATTTGAAACCTTATAAACTTTTCTCTATGAGCTTCCCTGACAGCACACTTGTTGGGTTTTTTGTTCCTATTAAACCAACTAGTTATTTCAGGTTTTTTTTTTTTTTTTTTTTGCTTCCCTCCTCAGAACTCTAATTGTTGGAGTATTCCCAGGATGCTGTCCTTAGCTGTCTTCTTTCCTATGTAAGCTCTCTTCCTAAGTGATCTCATATAGTACCACAGCCTCATATACTGATGAAATATCAAATTCATATCTCTAGCCTGGATCTCGTCCCTATCTTTAAACTTGTATATTGAAATGCCTACTTGAAATGTCCGTTTGACTAGTTTTTATTCCCCTTTCCCCCCTGCCCATATGCCTTCCTCATATAAATCCAGTTGTTCAGGCCAAAAAACATCTCCCTTGATTTTTTGTTGTGTTTCATACCTCACATTCAGTCCATCAGTGAGTCTAGTCAGCTATACCTCCAAAATATGTCCTGAATCCAACCATTTATCAGCATTTTCATACTACAACTCTAGTCTTCCATCTCTCACTTGGGCCACTACAGCTGATTCCTAATGTCTCTTCCTCCACTCTTGCCCCCTCCACACCTTCTTTCATGAACAAAGAAGCTCAAGTAATCTTCCTGAAGCGTAAATGACATTGTCACTCTTCTGTTTCAAACTTGTTGTGACTCCGCATTACGCTCAATCCAAGCTTCTTACCATGGCCTGTCTCCACTCCCCCTCTTTCACTTTACTATTTTAGCCATACTGGCATTCTCTCTCGCTGTTCCTCAGATATGCTAAGCTCATTATCATCTCAGAGCCTTTGCATTTAAGCTCCTTGAGGGCAAGGGCCATCTTGTCTTAATTATGACTGTATCCCCAGCTTCTACGGCAGTGCCTGCCATGTAGTGATCCCATTCACTGAAATATAGAATGTAGGAAAGGAGCAGGTTTCAGTTGGAGTGGGGGAAGAAGTAGATGATATATTTAGTATAAGAGTGTTGAGTTTTAACACATGGTTCCCCTTTGATCCATGGTGCAAATTCCTTAAAAGTATATTATGACTGTGTGGTCATATTTGTTCCCATAAATCTTAAGTTGTTTTTATACCCATCTGATAATCTTGTCCTGAAGACAAATGTATATTGATTTTAGCATCTCGAAGTCAACTTTCTTGATCTGTTTTCTATCACATGGATTAATTACTAGTGTAATTCCAGGGTTGTGTGAGGTATATAGGTACATTGAGTGCTGAAAAAGTTAAGAAAAATTGTACCGGGGCTGGCCCCACGGCATAGTGGTTGAGTTCGCATGCTCCACTTCAGTGGTCTGGGGTTCACAGGTTCGGATCCTGGGTGTGGACCTACACGCTGCTCATCAAGCCATGCTGTGGCGGCATCCCACATACAAAATAAAGGAAGATGGGCTCAGATGTTAGCTCAGCAACAGTCTTCCTCAAGCAAAAAGAGGAAGGTTGGCAACAGATGTTAGCTCAGGGCAAATCTTCCTCAGGAAAAAAAAAAAAACTTGTACCTGTCACCTTTTTTTATGAGTATGTTTTGATAATAAAAGTAATGATACTCATCGTATGTCCTAACATAGCAGCCTCAACTCCCAAATCTTTCTTCCACTTGAAATGCTCAGCATCAGCCAACTTGGAATGTCTTAGTTCCAAATTTCCTAAAGAAGTAATCTGATTGGTTGACTCAAATATCCATTCTTGGTCCAGTAAGCTAAGGCCAAAGAGACAGGCAAGGTCATATAGGCTTCAGAGCTGCCCCTTCCAGGCTATGGAAATGACTTTTTCTCTAAGAACGGAGGAAAAGAAGAAATTATTGACATCTCTAGTATAATTTTTTTAAATTGGGATCATACTGCTTTTTGCACTTACTGTATCCCATGGTTCTTTTCCTCTTGTAGTGAATATTCAGAGTTAGTTTTAATGGTAAATATTCAGTCAGTAATTCAGTTCAATTAAAAAATGATGACTGGGGCCAGCCCTGTGGCATAGCAATTAAGTGCGCGCGCTCTGCTGCTGGCAACCGGGGTTCGGATCCTGGGCGCGCACTGATGTACTGCTTGTCAGGCCATGCTGTGGCGGCGTCCCCTATCAAGTAGAGAAAGATGGGCATGGATGTTAGCCCGGGGCCAGTCTTCCTCAGCAAAAAGAGGAGGATTGGCATGGATGTTAGCTCAGGGCTGATCTTCGTCACCAAAAAAAAAAAAAAAAAAAAAATGATGACTAGTTGCTGATTCACAGTCTAAAACCAAGATGCTGTAAGCTTCAGAGTTGTGCTATGGAAAAGTATCTTATCATTTAAATGGTTAAAATGCAGTATAAGGGCAGGTAAAGAGCATATACTAATTTTAAAACAATCCATATAAAATTAATCTGTAAAGGTAATTCCTTTTGGCCGGTTAAATTCTTTTTATGAGAATTTCCTTAACTTGTTGAGAATTTTTGCTTTGGTAAAGAGTTTGAGATGGAAGGAAGGGAGGGAGGACCATCTTCTCCCCACTCTTACGTGTATTAAAAATTATAATGAGGGGGCTGGCCCAGTGGCACAAGCGGTTGAGTGCGCGCGCTCTGCTGTGGTGGCCCAGGGTTCGCCGGTTCGGATCCCGGGCGCGCACTGACGTACCGCTTGGCAAGCCATGCTGTGGCAGTGTCCCATATAAAGTGGAGGAAGGTGGGCACGGATGTTAGCCCAGGGCCAGTCTTCCTCAGCAAAAAAAGAAAAAAAAAAAGAGGAAGATTGGCAGGTGTTAGCACAGGGCTGATATTCCTCACCAAAAAAAAAAAAAAAAATTATAATGAAATTCAAATAAGCAGAACAAAATCATGACCACACTGGTTATTCCAGCTAGTCATAGTCTAGAGATTGAGAAAGAACAAAAAGAAATGAAATATAATTTTTTTTCTTATCTCCCTGGATGAGTGTTTTAAACATATATGTTGTCATATACTTGTGTTAAACATGAGATGTTTGTTACATATTTTATGTAGCTCTTTTGATACAGAATATGTACAAAGCTTATTTGATCATTAATGTGAAAACACACTCATTTGACATACAATGTAATAAATGGGAAAATCTCAATATTAATCCTTCTAGTCTAATTCTTACTTCATTTACTCTAAACAATACTTTATTCCTAGTACTTGGTCATATGACATTATGACCTATGATGTGGCTATTTATTCTTCTCCATCCTTAACCATAGTGCTTCTGATGATTGGTTCAGTTTCAAAACAATTGCTATAGATCAGTGGTTCTCACCTAAGGGCAGTTTTGTCCCCCAGGGGACATTTGACAATGTCATTTTTGGTTGTCACAACTGGGGAGTGGAGTGCTACTGGCATCTAGTAGGTAGAGGCCAGGGATGTTGCTAAACATGCTACAGTGCATGGGACAGGCCCCACCCCCAACAAAAAATTGTCCCACCCAGAATTTCGGTAGTGCTGAGATTGAGAAACCCTGATCTAGTTACAGTAAGGTGAAATTGTATGTCCCAAGCAAGTTATGTATGAAGTTAGGATAAATTACTCTCTGAGCAGTAGATGTCACTCTAGTCCAGAGATTTCAGTTTATTAGAGAGGATTTCCCAGTTACGTTATGTTCTGCTTCTTCAGATCCTGCCAGTTTTACTGAGATCACTAAAGACTGTGATGAGAATAAAGAAAACAAAACACCAGAAGGATCTCAAGGGGAGGTGGATTGGCTCCAGCAGTATGACATGGAGCGTGAAAGGGAAGAGCAAGAGCTTCAGCAGGCCTTGGCTCAGAGCCTTCAGGAGCAGGTAAGAGATGTTTATATTGCTGCCTTCTCCATACCTGTCTTTCCCAAGAGATAGAATAATAATAATAATAATTAATATGTGTAATGAACACTTATAATAACACTTTCTAATGTGTCGGGCATTGTTCCAGGTGATTTACGTACAGTAAGTCATTGATCCACCAAAAGAAACAAAAAAACTTTTTTGGGGCTTTGCCTTGAGTTTGAAACAGAAACATTGATAGTTGTGTTTTGTTTTTTTAAAATCCAAATGCAACAAAATGTATTCCTGTCTCCTCCCATTACTGTAAGTTATTGCATGCTAAAGCAAGATGGGTTATTAGAGATCATCCTCAGTCCAACTTTATTTTGCATATCGTAGAAACAGCCAGCATATCACCATGAATTTATTATTAATATTTGAAGACGGTGTATTTGTTTTGATCATTTTCTCACAATGTGAATCCTTTCCTGTGAACTATTTGAGCATAAAATTCTCCGGAATATGATCTGAAGTTTCAGATTTTATTCATAGACTAAGATGTATCTGCTCTTTTCTTTATGTAGTAATCTATTCTCCGCTTTTAATTTTTTATGCTTATATTGTATGCCAAAGCTGGTTGAGTTGCAGTGTTACAGTTACCTGACATATCTGACTAAAAGGTGATATTTTCATGGTTGCCTAATCCTATGCAATCCAAGTTATGTTAGTAATAAAAATTTAGCAAGACTCCCTAGAATGAATGCATAGTTTTAGTGTTTGCAAATAGTCAGATTGAGAAATCTAATCTCTCTAGAACAGTGGGTCTCAATCTTTAACTGCACATTAATATTATCTGGGGAGTTTTAAGAAATCCTGATGCCTGGGTTGTTCTGTCCCTCAGAAATTCTGATGTAATTGATCTGGGTGTGGTCTGGGCATCTAGATTTCTTTTTTTTTCAATAAGGATTTTTTAAAACTTCCCTCAGTGATTCTAACGTGCAGCCAAGGTTGAGCACTGCTACTTTAACCACTTCAGAACCAGCTGTTCCTTGTCCTTTTATTTATAAGAAGCGTATCCCTAGCTGCCTTGTCGTCAAGATGTATATGTGTCAAATTATTTTACAAATAGTATATAGTAATCATTTGTCTTAGAAAACTTACTTTTAATGTGAAAGACCAACGTCTGATTTCTTAACAATGGTGCAGAAAAAGAAGAAATTCAGCACACTTCTTTTTCATTGTTGAAAGACATATATCCTATTTCTTGTCAGCCGACCCAGTTAAAACTATCTTATTTTTCTCAAATATGAGGATAGGATTATAAGATGAAGTTTCTTTAGTTTGGTATACCTACATCATTCTATTAATAATTAAAGAGAGTCTTTTACCTTCTGGTTTCAGCATAGACTTTATATACTTGGATAAGTTTAAGTAATCATATTTCCTCTTAGGGAATATCTCTGTTGCTTTCTTTTTTTTTTTTTAAAGATTTTTATTTATTTATTTTTTCCCCCCAAAGCCCCAGTAGATAGTTGTATGTCATAGCTGCACATCCTTCCAGTTGCTGTATGTGGGACTCGGCCTCAGGATGGACAGAGAAGTGGTGCCTCGGTGCGCGCCCGGGAACCGAACCCGGGCCACCAGCATCGGAGCGCGCTCACTTAACCACCAAGCCACGGGGCCGGCCTCTGTTGCTTTCTTGAACACAGTATTATTGCTCCCGGGACTATAATGCAGAATAGTTCATTCTGAGCTGCTTATATACTTTAGTAACTTTAAAAAAAAGTCTAGAATTGAGAAAAGTATAAAATAATTATGCTTAAATTATATTTTTTCCTTATTCATACATCATTTATAAATTATCTTTTCTCTGAAGATGAGAGGGGAAATTTTTTATAATCAACATTTTCCTATTCTTTTTTTTAATTAGTCATCTAGTTGAGACATTTTCAGAGGTATTATTTTTTCTAAGAGAACCTGAGATATATTAGAATAACAGTCAACAGCATTCATTTAGTATTTACCAAGCTTCTGTTATGTGTCTTGGTTTCTTTAGCAAGAATAAAAATAGATATCTGTGAATAATGTCCTGTGGAAATATTGTTTATCTTGCTGTGATAGACTTAGGGTCAGTGGTGTGCTAGAGCCAGCTCACCGTCAGCTTAGGAGAGCCGACTGTGCACACCTCTTCCCAACTCTGCGTTCAGCTTCATGGTGGAACTCACACTTGGCCATGGGGGTAGTATTTATACCATGGAAATTGTGACATGCTGTAAATCAGGGAAAAGAAAGGAACAGTCAGCTAAGTATCGCCTGTATGCCAGGTATTTCATCAATATAAGACAGGGAATTGCATCATAATGTCACATCGAATGGCTTTTCCTTGGCAAGCCAAATGCCACTGACTAGAGGAGAGAGCATTTAAGCCTTTTTAATCCCCAAGGTTGTGTTTTAGGAGGACAGTTTTGAAAAAAATAAAGAACTTCCCCACATCCCTCAAGAGGTCATATTCCAAACATCCATAAGATTATGGAACACATTATTCGCAAATACTTCCAGAGCAGCTGATTTTATTCTCATTAAATAAATTTGATCAATACCTCTTTAAATACCTTAGTTTTGTTCTTGTCCCTTTAGGAGGCTTGGGAACAAAAAGAAGATGATGACCTCAAAAGAGCTACCGAGTTAAGTCTTCAAGGTGTGTAGATTATTTTAATTACTTTTTTTTTTTTTTTTTGGTGAGGAAGATTGGCCCTGAGCTAACGTCTATTGCCCATCTTCCTCTTTTTGCTTGAGGAAAATTGGCCCTGAGCTAACATCTGTGCCGATCTTCCTCTATTTTTTGTACGTGGGATGCTGCCAGAGCATTGCTTGATGAGCCACCAGTGTGTAGGTCCGTGCCCAGGATCCGAACCCGTGAACCCTGGGCCACTGAAGTAGGGCACGCAAACTTAACCACTACACCACTGGGCTGGCCCTACATTTTTTTTAATGGTGTAATGTGTCACACACAGAAGAGCATATAAAATGTGTTTGTTGTTTTTAATAACAATAACAAATTTGAACACCTCCCAAGTAAGGAAGTAGAACCTTAGAAGTTACCTGTATATCCCTCCTTTTCCCCTCCTTCCCAGAGAAAACCACTATTATTATTATTATTATTTATTTTTGTGTGTGTGCGTGGGGAAGATTAGCCCTGAGCTAATATCCATTGCCAATCTTCCTCTTTTTGCCGAGGAAGACTGGCCCTGGGCTAACATCCATGCCCTTCTTCCTCTGCTTTATATGGGACACCGCCACAGCATGGCTTGACAAGTGGTGCGTTGGTGCGCACCTGGCATCTGAACCCCCAGGCCGCCGCAGCGGAGCACGCGCACTTAACTGCTACGCCGCCAGGCTGGCCTGGGACACCACTATTCTAACGTTTGTATTCATCATTAGCTTGCTTTTTAAAAAAATAATTTTACCGTCTATATCCATATCCCTAAACATTTTTTTAATTTTTAAGAATTAAATAGGAGGGACAGTGTGTCTGTAATGAAAGAGCAATACTGCCACTGTTAAGACTCCTAGGAGAAGACAATGTGGCTTCAGTTTCCCTGTGAATTTACAAGAGCTCACTCTGGGGAAGTCAGTGGGCAGTCATGAGTGAATATGCAGAAGCATAAAGTTCCCAGTAGGCGTGGCACTTGGCAGAACAAATATAGACCAGGTGCTGGAAGTCCACAGGGACATATAGTCAGGAAAGTGGGCTAACTCTATATTTTCTGTTTCTGAGATGACTGTGGTCTTTCTCCAGCTCTCAGAAACAGATCAAAGCAGAACACTTTGGTGGTACAAAATGAGTGTTCTAGGCTTATCTAGACATGAGGGTGTGGAGGGAGGAGCAACAATTTCACTGGCACATGGTCGGAACACTTACAAATAAGAATTCAAGCTAGGCTCACCCAGGCATTCTGTCCTCAGATTAAAAAGATGGTGCAGTGGTGGCGATGATGGCTGTCTCAAGTCATGTTGCTCCAGTCCAGACTGGTTGCCCTCTACATCGTGTACGGATATCCTGAGATCTCCCGAGCCATTCTGCTGGAGGTTCCCTCTGATTCTCTCCTTGTTTGAATCTCCCATTTCCTGTATCTCACTTCCTCATTCTTGATCTACTTGTGGTTGCATGGAGAACATCCCCACTAGTTTTCTTGAAAAAGAGGAGATGTGACTTAGAGTTTTTGGAGGCCTTGTAAGTTTCATTCTACTCTGGTATTTGATTGATAGTTTGGCTGAATATAGAATTCTGGGTTTGCAGTCGTGAGAGCACTGTTTTCCCCCAGTTTCATGCTGCTGGGCAGTGACAGAAGTCTTGTTTACAAGGTTGCTGTATGAAAAGTCTGAAGCCGTTCTTTATCCTGATGTGACCTCTTTTTTCTCTGAAAGGTTGTGGGATCTTCTCTTTGTTTCTATTGTGATGAAGTTTCACAGTGTTGAAGTGCCATGTTGTGGGTCTGTTTCATCCATTTTCCTGGGTACTGTGGATTATTTTAATCTAGAAACTTGTGTCCTTCAGTTCTAAGAAATTTTCACTGATTTCCTCCGTTCCACTTACTCTCTTTTCTCTTTTTGAAACTCCTATAATCTAGACCCTCTGGTCTGGTCCTCTTAATTTTCCCATCTCTTCTCTCCAGTTTTCCATCTTTTTGTCATTTTGCTCTACCCTCTGGGAAGTTTCTCCAACCTTATCCCTAATTCTAAGCCTTCTTTTGAGTGTTTTATTTATATCATATTTCTAATTTTCAGGAACTGATTTGTTTTGCAAATGTTCCTTTTTTGTAAGATCTTTTTTTTGTTTGTTCATGGAAGCAATACCATCTCAGCTCTCTCGAGGATATTAAATTTAGTTCGTTTGTTTGTTTATTTGAAGTTTTCTGCTCCCTGAATAGATTCTGTTTCCTTCCGATTGCTCAGTCTTGTGTGTTTATTATGGTCTCTATGTTCCGTGTTAGAGGCTTTCCTCAGATATCTAGTAGTCCTTGGCTCTCAGCTCGTGATTAAGAGTAGAGAACTAACAAGATGATTGGAATTTCTGAGCACATGAATAGCTAGGGCTTATCAACTTTGAGTTTTACAGAGTGGGACTGTTTGGGGGATGATGTTAATATTTTAGGCCTTTCTCCTGGGCTGGTCAGATTCCTAAAGAAGAGTTTTCTAATCTCTTGCCTTTACCTAAAGGTGTAAAAGATGTGGCTGCCAAAGTTCTGGACCCAAGTATAGGCATAGAGCAGGGGGTGTGGGGTGGTTATACTCATCCTTCAATATGCAGACTGTCGCCTGCCCCCATTTTTAGCGTGGTATTCATGGCCTCCCTGTGCCTGGCATCCCCTCATCCGGAGACTGTTTTACCCTCTCCAGAGAATAAAGCTCCACACTTCTCTCGTTGCCCAGCAGCATGAAGTGGGGGAAGTGGATCTAGCAGTCTGTTTCTCAAACAGCTTTCACCTAATCCTTATTTGTATCCCCTCCTTAGCCTCCAGTTTCAGAGGTACCTGGTACTTCCAAGTTGTATGTCTTTTGAGGGTTCTGTGATGCAATCTGGATTGATTCTCAGCTTTCTCCTTCCTGCCTTAGGATTTGCCTTTGGCTTTCTTAGGTCGGCTAAGTCAGTCACCCATCTACTTTCCAACTTCTGGAGCTTCGATGCTGTGGCCTCTTGTCTTGTTCTTCCCATTCTCAGGCTTCATGCCTTTTAAACAGCTCTGTGCTGTGGTTCTAGTGGAATTAATTATATTTGGAAGCAAAGAGCCATTTATGTACAAATGCTTCTGGGATTCTTTAAAGCCATTTGTAAAGATGGATCCTTCCAGTGGAAGCACATTATTAAAGGAAAAAAACGGATCTGGGATTTGTTTGTTTAATGTATTTTAGGTGAAACTTAAGAGTTAAAGATTGAATTTCCATTATTTTTGTTAAATTTCAAAAAAAGGATTTAATATTGAATAAAATGAAAAGATTTTGATGTTTTTATGATCTCGTTTCTGAGAGCTAATTTGTATTTGCTGGTGGCATCTACAATACGCACCAAGTATTTCGAATCTAACATATAGTTTACATAATATTGAATTTAGTGAAATTGGATTCTCCATAAAATTATATTCTTTCAGTTTTATTCCTTTCTTATTAGAGTTATTATATTCCCTTTCATATAAGTATATTTAAAAGAAAAAGGAACATTTCTTTTATAGATACCTGGTATCTGAATTGTTATTCCCCAGAGTGGGCTGGGTGAATTGGAACCCTAGTAATATGTTTTATGTTTTCTTAGGATGATAAAATATGTACCTCAAGCTGTCTTTTATCTTCCTAATTGTATCTCTTTATATCTGTTCCAAGAACTTTTATAAGACTTTGTCTTTGTGTTCTTCAGAGTTTAACAACTCTTTTCTGGATTCGTTGGGTTCTGATGAGGACTCCGGAAATGAGGATGTTTTAGATATGGAGTACACGGAAGCCGAAGCCGAGGAACTGAAGAGAAATGCTGAGGTGGGTGGTGTTTTATTCCCTGAGGGGAGCTGGTCACTGTCAGTATCACTCTTCCTGCTCTTTAAGTCACCTGTACTGTGAAAACCATACTGTCATAAAGTTCAATACCAAAACTAGTTGGTTGTTACTCAGAAAAAACGATTGAATTCATGACATTAACTAGAGCACATGGGAATCTTTCTTCTTTAACCTTCTTCTCCCTTGAATAATTGCTTTTTCCCCATTTTCCAAAATTTTTGTAATTTTAATTACCCAGGATCCCAATATCCTAACACAACTACTGTTAGCATTTTGACATATTCTTTGGTCATTCCTACCCTCAAGTATACTTTTAAAAAGTCATAAGTACAGTTTTTATCCTGCTTGTAGAAGACTAATTATTTGTAAGCATTTTATTTTTAATAAAATTTGAGGGCTATACCATAGTCCCTCAAATGAACATACTATTTTATTTAATTTTTAACGTTGAACATTTAAATTGTTTGTTTTTTCACTGTAATAAATAATACATTGAGGAACTGTGTATGATTGTAATGTTTTCTATATTTATGATTTTCTTCTTTAAATAAATCCCCAGAAATAAATTACTGCATCAAAGTTTATGAGCATTTTAATGGTATCTTGTTTAATATAGTATATTCCTTCCCAAAATTGTACCTTATAGTGCTGCCTGCAGTGCATGAATATCACTTTTCAGTTGTTTTATTTTTCTACTAACAATATTTTAAGCATTTTTTTTTAATATTCAAAATGTAAAAGTTCACCCATAATCCCTTAGGTAACACAGCAACTCTTATCATTCTTTTTCATTCTGTTTTCTAGTACTTACCCGTTAACATACTGTCAACCTTAAAAATAAAACAGCTAGTTATCTTACCAGCAAAACGATTTTATTCAGGAATAGCTAAAGAATTGCAATTCATGGGGCCAGCCCTGGTTGGCTTAGTGGTTAAGTTCGGTGTGCTCCACTTCGGTAGCCCAGGTTCAGTTTCCCAGGCGTGGACCTACACCACTCATTTATCAATGGCCATGCTGTGATGGTGGCTCACATACAAAATAGAGGAAGATTGGCAACAGATGTTAGCTCAGGGCCAATCTTCCTCAGCAAAAAAAAAAGAATTGCAATTTGGGGTGTGCATGCTATGGCAGACTATGGGCAAATCCAACCATCAAGGGAGAGGTACATTATTTTATAGAGAAAAAGGAAGAACTTGGGAGGGGTTTTGAACAAAGGTCCGTTGGAGAAAAGTAAGAGTTCAGGATGGTGGGCCGGCCCCGTGGCTTAGCGGTTAAGTGTGCGCGCTCTGCTACTGGCGGCCCGGGTTTGGATCCCGGGCACGCACCGATGCACCGCTTCTCTGGCCATGCTGAGGTCGCATCCCACATACAGCAACTAGAAGGCTGTGCAAATGTGACATACAACTATCAACTGGGGCTTTGGGGGGAGGGGGGGAAGGAGGAGGATTGGCAATAGATGTTAGCTCAGAGCCAGTCTTCCTCACAAAATGAGGAGGATTAGCATGGATGTTAGCTCAGGGCTGATCTTCCTCAAAAAAAAAAAAAAAAAGAGTTCAGGATGGTGATGGTTTTTTATTCGATGAGTTGCTGGGGTAGTGATTCTGCTTGGGATGCAATGCACATTTCTTCCTGTAATTCATTCTCTCCTGTTGAGGATTTTCTGTTGGGGTCTGTAATTGACTCTCTTTCCTATAATTGACCTTGAGTGGTACTTCATGGGAGCCCCTCCTTCTGGCCTCCTGATTCCATTTTAAATAAGATTTCCCTTTATTAATTTTCATAATACCTATTTTTATTTATTTATTTTTTTGTGTGAGGAAGATCAGCCCTGGGCTAACATCCATGCCTATCCTCATCTTTTTGCTGAGGAAGACTGGTCCTGGGGTAACATCCATGCCCATCTTCCTCCACTTTATATGGGACGCCGCCAGAGCATGGCCTGACAAGCAGTGAGACGGCGCGCGCCCGGGATCCAAACCCGGGCCGCCAGCAGCGGAGCGCGCACACTTAGCCCCTATGCCACAGGGCTGGCCCATCACAATACCCATTTTTATAGAGCTCTGGTTATTATATGCATTCATGTGGGTTTGAAAAACAAGTTAACATGTTGCTGGCCGACTTAATTTTTTTTAAATAAATGAATAATACTGTATTGAGTTGATGTACCACTAACCATTTAACTATTATTGGGCTTATTGTTAGTTCCAACTTTTCATTATTATAGGTAATGCTACAGTGAGTAATTTTATACATATACTCTTTTCTTTTTTTGAATTATTTTCTTATAAATTCTTAGTTGGGAGTAGAATTCTTGGGTCAACGGACAATACCAACCACTGGATTTTTTATGGAATCTGACTATACATATTCTGAAACTTAGCCATGTCAGGTTTGATAATAAATTTAAATTTAGTATTCTGCTTTTATTCAAATGAAGAGTTAAAAGTCTTGCCTGCTTCTGTTTTCCAGACAGGAAATCTTCCTCACTCCTATCGGCTCATCAGTGTTGTCAGTCACATTGGTAGCACTTCTTCTTCAGGTAAATGGACATCATGGTTTCAGCATTTTGTAAATGAAGTAGCCAGCATCTGCTCCTTATTAGGTTGCTCTGTGCCTAGTTTGTGAGGTGGAAGTTGAATGCATCAAGAAAAACTTTGAAATCTTTTCTTTGATCACACTAAATGTGAATGGTGTTAATAGGTGCAGCTGTTGTGATTTTTCTGTTCATAAATGACCCAAATTCCCCTAAACAAAATATGTTTATCAGAAAGGTTGTGCCTATGTAGTATATTCCTCCCTTAAATTTTTGTACATGTATTTTGAATGGCTTTTAGAAACATTGTTGGGGGTAAGGTGGGTGAGGTGGCAGTTTCTCTCTCTTTCTGAAACTTCCTGTATCTGAGAAAAATTCAATAATGTTTTTTAAAAAACTCAATTTTAAGATTTTATTTATTTCAGGTCATTACATTAGTGATGTGTATGACATCAAGAAGCAGGCGTGGTTTACTTATAATGACCTCGAAGTATCTAAAATCCAAGAGGCTTCTGTGCAGAGTGATCGAGATCGGAGTGGTTATATCTTCTTTTATATGCACAAGTAAGAAACTTTGTCAGATCAGAAGCTCTGGGCCAGAAATCACCCAAACTCTTTTTCCTTTAAGGATAAAATGTTCCCATCACTTAATTGGTTGACAATTTTTGGGTTTTGTTATCTTTGCTTAGGGCTCATGTCTTGATATTTTCTTATAAGTCAAGAATATTTTCTCTCTTAACATTGGTTACTCATCACTGTAGCATCTAGGTATGGATCTTAAGACTATGTTATGGTAGAAGCTATCCTGTCATAAACCTTTTTGGTCTTCCAGTTGTATCATCTAGAAGATCTGAGTTATATGGATGGGAACTAAATAGCATTTTTATCAAAGCTAGGTATTACCATTCCGCCCCCAGCATTCTCAAAAATCAGCACCTGGGGTTAAGATGGTGATCAAATGAACGAGCTGCTTGTTTAATAAAATTTAGGCACCAAATGGGATTATGCAGGCTTTACACTATCTATTTTCTGTCTGTCCTTTGTCTTTGCTCACTGAATTTCCTGTTTTATTTTGTGTTTGTTTTATTTTAAGGGAGATCTTTGATGAGCTGCTAGAAACAGAAAAGAACTCTCAGGCACTTAGCATGGAAGTGGGGAAGACCACTCGTCAGGCTTCATGAGGAACAAACTCCTGGGTTGGCAGTGTGCACTGCATATTCTCTTACTGCCGCCCACCTCACCTTTCCTCTGCCTGAGGAGAGTTTGGAACTCTACTTGATGCGGGAGCAACAAACAGCTCAGGGCCAAACCAAAAGACGAAAATTGCAATTATGCGGAATGCTCCATGCTAATTGTTCTATGGAAGCTTTGGTCTCACATCTGTAGCTGGTTATCCTCTTTTTCTCCTACAAGAGTGGCACTTCTTTTTGTCTTAGGAATACATGTTGTAAATATATATATATGTACATACACACACACACACACACACACACAAACACACACATATGTGGAATGAATGGAGCCTTAAAGAGTTAGGATGAGCCGCCAGAATATGCCTGCTCAAAATTAATAGCACAGCAGTTTGGAGAAGAAATGAAGTTGTCAGAGTCTGTTCACCTGAGAAATGCGTGAAGATGTACATATCAGTTGGCATTTAGCTTTTATGTTCCTTGAGTAGTTGCACTCCAGTCTGTAATCTTCATATGTGTGTCTTATTAGTAAAGGTCACTGGAAGGCGAGCTCTCCATGTTACACTATGACAGTTTGTCCTCCCTGCAGAGGCGGGGCATTTCTGCCACCTGACTTGAGGAGCTTTTTTTAAAAAAAATTATTTCATGAATTTGTAATGCTTTTGCTGTTTACATGCAGTCCCAGGAAATGGATTGTTGGTGCTTTGGAATGTGTTATGGTCCCACATTTGGTAGTCACTGTATACTTTGTACTTTCTTTAAAGAGATTCCTTTCTACAATATGTTCATTGTATATCATCTATATTATTTTGGAGGTGAAGATAGAATCTTTTATTTTTCTTCTCTATCATTCTTCCATGGAGCAAGCATAAATCTAACAGATTACAACCAAAACTCAAGACGTAGGAGAATAATGTTGTCCCAGTTGGGACTCCCCAGCAAGGATACTTAGGGATGAGGAAGAAGGCTAGCACCTCTGTCTCTCACACACAGAGAGGTCAAGAGGAGTATTCTTGTGGAAAACCCTGGACCACTAACGCTAAAAGCCCTACTGCGTGTGAAATTAAGTACATGAGCTATAGGATAAAGCTTGAACATTTAACCATTTGCTGTCTGGCTTTGCCCTTAAAACAGGGTGGGAATTAAAGTGTGATTGGTTTAGGTAATCTCAAGAACTAACAAATAACAAAGGTGCATCATATATCTATATTCCTTTTTAGGTGCTTTGAGTTGAGGCTAAATGGGGGTGCTACGTTAGTCACTGAGCTGACATACCAGCTTGTGAAACCATGTAAAGAATGAGTTTGAGAGTAGAAGTCAGTCCACAAAATAATTTTGTGAGCCCAGGAATCATTAGGATCACACGGAGTTAATTAAGTATAGCAAAATGAAACCTTCAACATTTTCTTTCATTTTTTTGTCTTGCTTTTATTATACACAAGGAGATTACTCTTTAGTTCTGGGCTGGGGGCAAAACCACATGAGGTTTTCAAGGGGAGAAAACGTTTTCAAGTCCATCGTCACAAAAGATGCAACATCTTTTCTGGAAGGTTGCCTTAAGAGAACTCAGGCCCCACTCTTGGAACTTGGATGTGTTCTGACATAGTAACCTATTCTAAAATTTTGAATCTTTGAATCCTAAATGGCCTGAGCACTTTTGCTTAACTACTGATAAAAGCTTTGCCTCCTTCTGTTTACCTGCATATTACTATAGCGAACGTTCCACACTGCACAGTAGTAGGATATGAAGGAGTAGTGTAGAGCAGAGGAAAATATTTGTTTTAAAAACTAGCCTTTTTTTTTTTTTTTTTTTTTTGCTTGAAAATAACTGGGTTTCTCATAAATGAGTGAAGTGATCAAAATTCTTTAGCTATTTATTCTCTTCCCTGTGTCTGTATTTGAGAGCTTTGAGAGGCACTGGTAAAAATGATTGAGAATGATTTTAAGTGAGGGGTGCATTAGGGCATTAAAAGAATAGAAATAATGCCAGAAGCCTAGATTGCTCATGAAGTACCCTCATTTGGTTTGCTTTTTGTAGCTTGTGTGTGTGTATGGCTCAGAAGTACACTAGCCTCAGAAACCTAGTTTGATTTGATCTTCACGTGTTGAGCAGGACTTGTTAGATGAAAATAGGTTACTGGGGCAGGTGAGTTATCTCACTGCTCATATACTTTCAAGTTTGGGACTTGAACTTTTCCTGGATATCTGTCCACTGTTGTGGCCTGGTCAGCCTTCCTCTCTCCTTCCCTGCTTTCACTATTTACCCCTTTCACTACAAAGTTACTTTCTCATTTTGGTTCAGTGAAGGGTTAATGACTACAGATGGAGATTTCAGCTGGACGATGTTGATGGGGTTTGTTGTTTTTTTGAGCTGACTGTATATATTTGAAAATTATAAGTAGGTAATATATTATTTTTTGCGCATATGATCAGTTTGCTGAGAATCAGGGGATGGGGCATTTGGCATGTTGGGGCCAGGAAGGGACAAGTTAGATAGGGACAGAAAGCTTCAGTCCCAAGTAGCCTGCACAATAACTAAACTTCCAATTGCGAATACCAAATGTGGTTATATTACTTTAAATGACGTGGAATTGGAACTTGACAGCACTTAGTTCTGTGCACAACTGATCTTAATTGGAATTTTTTGGAAGGGAAGACTAAACTAAAATTCAAACTTGTTGATTCTTATCACCTAATACTATTATGAAGAATTGGAAAGTTGCATATGGCTGGATGCTGTTATCACTTTAGTAGCCATGACTATAATTTAGGCCTACGAGGAGAGAGATTCTGTTCATAGGGAATATATTCATGTGTGTGCGCACACTCATAAGTTTTGTCTCAGCAGGATAGAATAAGAAGCAAATCTATGAATTGTTCTGTTTGTATTTTGATTCCAAAAGCTATTTGTTTACTTGCTGTGGTCTGTTAATTTCAGGCCTAACTTAATGGCTCAATAACAGATGTAACAAATGTACAAGTGTTTACATTTTAAGAAGTATACAATGATACTTCAAGATCAGTTAATTAACTCTGGGAGACAAATATTAGAGTACACATTTCCTTATTTCCCTTCTTGTCAAGTGAAAAATTCTTCAAAAAGAGAAGCTTTAAGAATTAAAACCTCAGTAAGTGAATTGATGAATTTACTTATTCTTCCACACTGCAGTTACCGTCGTGTAACTAGATAAACATCGCTGTACACGTGGACAGCTACAGATAGATTTCTATAATGAAAAATATTTGGAAACACCTAAATTAAAGAGATTGTTGGCAGTGTCTCATATATAGTTAAGTTTTATGAGTATAAAGAAAGCATGGGGGAGTGGAAACATACAGAAAAAAGGTAGTTTTTAAACTCATCTGTGATCCACTGAAAAGAGATTATATGAAGACAAAAATATTACCTTTCTCCCTCTTTCTTCTCTGTCCTCTGAGATGACCACAGCGATGCTCTAGTCATCCAGCCTTTGTTTTGCCCTGTTTGATTTAATCGACCCCCTTAGGTGGTCTTTTGTTTTAAATCAGGGAAACAGAGCTAGATCTCCAAGGACGCATGGATCTTGTATATATATGGAGATTTTTAGGAAAATCACCAACAACCCAGTACCAGATGCAAGTCACATTAAAATGTCCCCCAAAAACAGATATGTCCTTTTCCTCCTCCTCATCTTGCTTTACACTGAGTAATGCTCTCTTTAAGTCTGACAAAAACTAAACAGATTTCTGCCCTCTCACATCTAATGCATTACTTCAAAATTCTAATTTTGTTTCTATTGATATGTCTTATTAACATCTGAAAATATTTTTTTTTTATTGGAAAACTATAGTTTGTTAGGCCTGAGAGTTTTGTGCCAGAATTATTCTGCTGTGTCTCACCACAGTCATGGACTCCTTTACTGCATGCTTTGAGCACTAGACTTCAGGCAGTCTCTTTTGTTGTCTCCTATTTACACACTACTAGTAAATTTTCCTTTTCATGTGTGCTGTCTGAGGTTTTGAAGTTTTTAATAAAAAGTGTGCCAGTATGGATATAAGCAGTTGATTTCAGTAACATTGGACTTTTCTTAAAGTACAGAGGTTTGAAGCATAGGCATGTCCACTGGCTTAAGAATAGAAGGGATGAGGGTCTGGATGAGGACCCAAGTTTGTTAGGTCAAATGCCAAAACAGAGAACTTGGAGCAGTCGGCTGAACTGGTCTATTTCAGAGCAGAGGGAGTGTGAAGGGTGAGACTGCGAGTGGTGGCAGACACCTCTCGCAGCCCCAGGGTTCCCTCCCCTGAGCTTTTCCTTCCCTCCCCGACTTCTCTGGCCCATTGTCCATGTTGTTTGTTTATGCTCCAGAGAGGGAAACAGAAATAAGCTTCCTACACTTTGCCTGATTGAGCCACTACCAGGGTTACTGGCAGCTTTGGCCACGTTATTTGTGAGGTGATTTTCTTTCTTTGTGTTCAGAGTGACTTTTGATTCTGATTCTTTGCGTCGTTTTGTATGGAGCGGCACTTTATCTGTGTTTTAGCAGAACTGTTCCTCTGTATCTCTGACGGTTTTTCCTTGTTTTTGTTTCCTTTTTAAATTATGCATAGAGTTTTTTTGTGCGTGAAATTAAAGCCTTTATTAACCTTGCTTTGGTTTGACTGTTATTTCTGAAAAGGACACATATTCTTGCAGACACTTAACCAGTTGTCGAAGCTGTGGAAATCACCTTCTGTTGGCCTTCTGACTTGGGCTTCCATGCAGCACCCTGACATCTTAAAGGAGATGGATGGCAAAGCAACGTAGGGCCGTAGGCAGCACCGGGTGCCCGTTGCTTTCAGCCAAGGAGCCTGTGAAGCTTTGCAGAAGTTCTGGATAACAGTTTGTAAACCGAGCATTGGCCTTAACTGTGCTCTTCCTTTGCCTTATTATTAAGAGCACCAGAGGGGGGATGAAATACCATTTGCATTTCATACTTGCCTGTAGGCCTCAAGCCTAGACCCAGTGGATATGATATGCTGCTCTCACTAGCTACTGGTTAGTGAGTATTGTGAAACCTCCTACTAGGGCGATCTCCTAGCCATTCAACTCCCTTTCCAAGAAGTGGTCCCCTTTAACTGACCACCTGAGGAGGCAGTGAGGCAAGTATGTGGAAAGGAAAAGCCATTACTCTGGGAAAGTTTATGTCTGGGAAAGACATAAAACTGCAAAATGCTTCAGCCCACCTGCCATAGACGAAAATGACTCATGATAGAGAAATGCCTAAGGAACGTTCGTCAGAACTCATGTTCCATGGAATGTTTGGGTGCT